TTTCCCTCCAGCTAGCACCAGGGAGTGTGTGCAGCCAAGCCCCGCAGCTCTGCCCCTGCACGGCACATTGAATCCTGCGCCCAGACCTGGTCCCTGCACCTCAGCAAGGAGAGAAGAGCAGCAAGGATGATGAATGGTATGGACCGGTGCCACCTGAGGAGAGACTAACGAAGCCAGGCCTGCTCAGTTTAGAAAAAAAGATGCTCGAAGGATGCCATGAGAAAAGGTTATGAAATGCTGAGTGGTGAAGACAAAGTCAACGGGGAGTTCTTATCGACTCTCTCCCCCCGTACAAGAACAAAGAGTCGCAACAAGCAGGTAGTAAGTTTAAAATGATCACAAAGAGGGTTTGGTTTTGTTTTTTTCACCTAGCGGGTGCGACTACATGAGATGTTTTACTGCACAATTGACCAATCTACTGCGCAGTAAAGTGTCACCATCTAGACTTGCACAGCAATTACTGTGCAGGAGATTAGTCTAATTTGCCATTTTCTAGTTGCTGTAGATACAGGTACTAGAAATTGGTGCATTAAACTAATGTGCTGAAGTGCATGTATAGGTGCTGCTCAGGAGCAAATTGCTCCCAGTCGGCCTAGGCAGCAGGGGGTGGGGAGAGCTGTCCGGGCTTAGCAGGACACTGCCTGCCAGCCCTCTTGAAGTGCGGTGCCCAAAACTCGACGCAGTACTGCAACTGCAGCCTGGCCAGTGCCACATAGAGGGGGAGGATCACCTCCTTGGACCTATTTGTGATGCACCTGTTAATGCACGATAGGGCGGTTAGCTGTATTGATCGCTTCGTCACATTGTCGACTCATGCTCACCTTTGAGTCAGCTATGACTCTGAGATCCCTTTCTGCTGCTGTGCTGCTTAGAAAGTCAAGTCATCCCCCAGCCTGGATGCGTGTTGGTGATTCCTTCTCCCTAGGTGCAATACTTTGCACTTATCTTTGTTAAAGTGCATCCTATTTTGTTCTGCCCACTTATCCAGCCTGTCTCAATCTGCCTGAATCTGGCCCCTGCCCACCAGTGTGCTTACTTTGCCCCATAATTTAGTGTCATCCGCAAATTTGGACGGAGCGCTCTCCACATCCTCGTCCAAGTCTCTATTGAAGATATTGAACAGCTCCTGTCCAAGGACCAAGCCTTGGGGGACGCCACATCTTTCCGGGTCGATGCTTACCTGTCCACCACGACTCTCTGGGTGCAGGACACCAATTCGCCCCCCCCCCCCTTGAAAACAGGGACCACATTGGCCCTTTCCCAGTCCTCTGGGACTTGTCCTAAGCACCACGGGTGCTCAAACAGTCTTGCCAGTGGTTCTGCTGTGACACTGGCCAATTCTTTCAGCACCCGTCGATGACGATCATCCGGGCCTGCTGACTTGAACACATCCAGCCCCTCCAAGTGTCCCTTCACTAGGTCAGTGCTAACTGTTGGTGGGCTGGTGTCCCTCCTGTGCCTGTCTATAATCCAATTTGGAGATATGTCTTTATCTGTGTTGAGGAATGCTGATGCAAAGAACTCGTGGAAGAGCTCAGCTTTGTCCCCCCTATCTGTCACTTGTGGGAGTGTTTTCTACCTGGCAAAAAATATTTCAATCCTGGTTGCCATCAGGTCAAGCCCAGACAGCACCAGCTCCAGAGCTGGACTTTACACCCCTCAACAGGCTGGTCCCTGTCGAGCCAATGTTTGCATGCGACTCCTGTTCTCTTGAGTAGGAATTATGCATTCCCGAGAGAAGGTCAAGTTTCCACTTCAGAGAGGGGATTTGACCCCTAGGCTTTCTGTCTCTTCCTTGTCCCAGGGAGAGCAAACTTCACATCCTGACAGTGGTGTGTGGTGTCCAGATATAGGAGAGGAGATGAAGGCCCCATCTCGCTGAGCCAAACAGAGGCACAGTATTGTAGAGGGAGAAGTCGTGGGCCTCTGAGTGGTTGTTGTTCTGGGAGCCGGTC